GGGAAAGAGCTGGGAGTGCGGTGGCCGGAGGGGGCAGGGAGGCACACCGCCCGGGGGTTACAGGCAAATGCCGTGCCTTCCTGCAGCGCGCCCGCACATGGGCCCTCTGCTTCCCACGGCTCTGGTCGGAACCCAGGGCCCCGCCCTGCAGGCCGCTCACAGCTCCAGCCTGGAGCCGCGGGTGGCTCCGCCTAGGCCAGCCCGGCCCTGCAGCATCTCTGTCCTCACGGCCGGTCTGATGCCTCAACACCAGCAGGCACAGGTGACATAACCACGACGGCGCCTGCTCAGCCCGGGGGGCCACGAATGACAAGCAGGACCAAGGGCCTGAAATCGCAACTCGCAACTCAGACTAAAAGGTGGACCACTGTTGGGATTTTCCTCCCACGTCGCAGTTCAGTAAACCACACCAGGCCGGGATTTTGCAACATCTAAATGTCACTTGTGGAGTAGCCCAGGGTCCCCAGAGCAGCCTTTCCCGGTGGCAGCAGTGGCAGCGCTCACTGTGTGCCAGACACAGCAAAGCAACGACGTGCACCCGCTTGTTCCATCCTCCGCCCTCTTCCTCTTGCCTGACAGATCAGGGAGGTGAGACGCGTCTAAAAGAGAGTTGCGTTGCCTGAAGTCACAGCCAGGATGCGGTGCAGCCGGGGCTGGACTGGGTCTGTTAGGCCAGGTCTAACCTAGCGGATGTGTCTGTGCTCGGGACTGCGGAGTTGATGGCGCTCAAGGCCACGGGAGGAGGGCTGCACGCTGGTGCCTCTTCCTGGCCCCTGCGCTGGCCACGAGCAAGTTCGCGGTGGGCAAGCGAATTCACCTCACAAGCTGTTAACTGGGGCTTCTCTGCCCAGCTCAGGGGGTTGTACGAGGAGAGCACGGAGCTGAAACTCATCAGGACGGCGCTCGTGCCTGGCACAGGGTCGGCACTAAAGAAACGGTACCTCTGGGGCTTGTTGATAGGGTGATGGTATTTTTCATCATCCTTTTCCTAAAACACAGCCTCCGTCTTTAGCTCTTTTGACATGGGCAGGGTGTTTCTGCAAACAAAGCCTCAGAGGGTGTGAGGTTCAGGGGCAAATGTGTCTGACATTTCAGGCAACACGACCCCTGCACTTGGGTTTTCCAAACCTGGTCCTTAGCCAGCTGCTAGCTTCCCGGGAAATAACAAATTACTGGGCGCACACCCCTGTGCTCCCGTGGAAATCCCAGGCGCGCTCCAGAGCTGGCCAAGGCAGCACGACTCAGGATGAGGGACAGGGTTAGACAGGCACTCAAGGATTTCTTAAAATGAGATGTAATAAAGGGAAGGAGGCCTGAGAAAAACACCATCTTCCTGCGACATGCAAACCTGCCAGAGGACCACGGTCTGGGACGGATGCTCCCCACAGTAGACACTCACATATCATGGTGGTCCCTCCTGCCAGGGCGGCCTTGGTCCCCTGGCAGAAGTCATCGGCCGGGGTCATGCCTAGGACGGGCATCTGCAGCCTTGTGTGGACGTCCACTCCGCCCGGCAGGACCATCAGGCCGTGAGCGTCAATAGTTCTCATGCCCCCAGGGATAATGAGGTTTTCTCCAATTTGTCTGAAAGCAACAGAGATTTCGCTGGTTAGGAAGAGCCCTGAGCAAACGTGAACGAGCTCCTGGCAACGCTGCAGAGCCGGGACTCTTGCCCTCGGGCTCTCGTCCCTGAGGAAAAAGGCGATACAGCCAAGACTTGACCAGCCCACACTCTGGGGCTCAGGACCGTCAACACAGAGGATCCAACCCTGTGCTGGTTGCTTAGGTGTCCACTCGCTGCTTATTGACCAGAGGCTGGAGCTGCTCTCCTGTTTTGTTTCGTTCCTGCCGCGTGGCATGTGGGGACTCAGTTCCCGACCAGGGATCGAACCCGCACCCCCTGCATTGGGAGCGTGGAGTCTTAACCACTGGACTGCCAGGGAAGTCCCTGGAGCTGCTTGACAGGCACAAGCAGACAAGCTAATAGGTGTGGTCAATCAGCATTTATTAAACACCTACTTTGAGCCCCACACCGTACTGAAGCTGTGTTAACAAAGAAACGAGGAAGCCATCGTCCCGCTCTCTGAGGCTTCACTGAAGGCTCGGGTTGGGCAAAAGCTATTTCCAGGGAATGAGCTTTTGGGAAAGAAAGAACCATATTCACATGAGCTCGCCCAAAAGTAAACTTCTGGAGAGTGTGTGATCAACGTGTGACCATGAAGATATCTGAGGTAGAAACTCACTTTATCAAACCGTCCTCCACATACAGGTCAGCGTAAAAGGACTGGTCATCATTCACGATCCTCCCGCCTCTGATCAGAAGGCGGTCACTCTATCAGAAACAAAGAAATGGGTAAGTTTCCTCCAAACTAAGTGACTCAACAGTATCTTGAACACAAGCTTTTACCCTGGAATTATGATGGAAACATTCAGGCACAATTTGTGTGCATGAAATCCAGCACAAAGCCTGTATGGTTTATCCCCCCCACACACACAGGGAGGGCAGAGGGTGCCCCGAGACGGTGGCCCTTGGGGGCAGCTGCCTACGGGCCCCGCACACGACCTGCAAACAGGTCAGGCAGTCTGGCCTCGCCAAAGGCACAGGGTATACGACCAGCTAGCTCCCCGCTTCACCACGGCAAAGCCGAGGCGATGAGAACAGCAGTGCAGTGAACCACGCGTACATCTTCACACCCGTTGCCTGATTTGTAAAGCCCTGGCCGAGGACGGAGGTGGACCACATCTCACACGCCCCTGCTGGCCTGGAAGTTCTGCCCTTCGCATCCACCCACAGAGGCGGCTCCGGCTGACAGCTGGGGAGGGCTCCTTCCAGAATCTCTGTGCCCTGAGGCAGTGCCAGCAGGCAGGGGCCCTACCCCTGGGGAGGGAGACAGACATCACACACGCGGCCGTCACAGATGGTGACAGACGCAAGAGCACAAAGCGGGTGACGTGACAGCGTGATGGGAGACAGGCCTGGCTGCCTCAGGGACCTAGAAGGGCCTGTCAGAGGAGCTAAAACTGGAGGTGACTCAAGCTCAGGCCAGGGCACAGCCCATGCAAAGGCCCTGAGGCAGGAAAGAGTCTGGTTGATGCAGGAGAGGAAACGAGGCGGGGTGGGGGGGGGGGGGGAATGGGAGGGGGGTAGGAGTGGGGCATGCTGGACTTGGGAAATCAGTGGGCCGCCACCTGGGAGGCCTTAAGCTGGGGTTTAAATGATCATACAGAGTTCACATTAGCCTGTTGTAGAGAGCAGCCCGTGGTGTTCAAGGATGGAAACAGGGTCATCACTGGAGTGGGGCCTGATGTGGTCTGAGTGAGATGTGGGGCCCCGGGCCGGCATTATGGGGCGGATCAGAGACGGACTCCAGAGAGGCTGGGAGTTGGGGAGCAGGGGCTGCTGATGCAGAGGCCATGGGGGTGCAGGGCCTGGAGGACAGCGGGGGGCCTGCCAGTTCTGGTGCCACCTGCGGGTGACCCAAGGGGGTGAACAAAGTGGCAGCAAGTTCGGCCAGCTCTTCGGGGCACCCCGCAGCACGGAGCTGCGCAGCCATAAGCCCACTTCTGATGGTCAGGAAGGAGGGAGTGAGGCAAAGGGGAGTCAGTAATGGAGCCGCGCATGATGTCAAGGGTGATGGTCTGACCTCAGTGGAGAAAAGCGGAGAGAGACACAAAGCAGGAGCAAAGAGCTGAGAGCAGAACGACGCAGGCGAGAACCCAGCCCTGCAGCACTTTCCCTCCGTGAACGTGCTGGAGCCTCCCACTCTCTGGGACTTGACAAGGCCAGAGTGACAGCTGTTTCACAGGGGGTCTGGGACCTGGCCCGGGGCTCAGGGGTGCCCACCCAGAGGCCAGGCTAGGGCTCCAGGCCGGGGACTCTGGCCCTTCACACACCATCAGCCTGACACCACGAGAACTGACGTGTGTGGCGCACCCAGCAGAACACTCTTAAGGACCTCCTAGAGGATAAATAATTCATCGCTTATGAGCCTTATCACATCATTCTCTATTCTTATTAACATCTAACAGTTTGGGCCGAATTCTCAGACTTCTATTGACTAAAGGTAAAACCACCACCGCACTGTCTACAAAAGGGTGGCCAACTGTGCCACAAGCCAAACATGGCCCTCGACCTGTCCCTGTGCAGCCCCGAGCTGAGCATGGTTTGCATCTTTTGCTGGTTGAAAGACATCATAAAAGACTTTCAAGACTCATAAAAGTTACATGAGATTCACGCTTCAATGTCCAAGCTCAGCTTTTACTGGAGCAGTCACACCCAGGACCGCTCTCTTGCAGGGCTGAGTAGCTGCACCAGAAACAGTGTGGCCCTCGAAGCTGAAAATACCTACTGTGTGACCTACTGCCAACCCCTGGTCTACCACATGGCCCGGCCCCAGCTGCCTGGGCCTCTCCCTTCTGGGTTCTGCAGAGGCTCACTGCCCGGTCCCCTGGGCCCTAGACCCAGCCCTGACAGGTCACATCACAAGGACCCACCTTGCCCACCTTCTGAGCCAGTGTTCAGACCCTCCTGCCTCCCCCTGCAGTGCCCCGACTCCAACAGCCCCAATTCCAGCCCCAGTGGACCAGCGCGTTCTCAGAGACGCCCAAGAAGAGGAGGCGGAAGGCTTTGGGCAGGAAGAGACTGTGGCCTGGGTGCCCTGCTCAATCCCCCACCCTCCAATGCTCAGACGTCTGGACTCCGATTCTGGGAGCCTTCCTGGGTTTGGAACCAAGGGGGAAATGCAGCAGGATGAGGTGCCATGCTCCTCAGGATGAGGGCAGAAGTTCCCCTAAACCAGCCACTTGAGTCTGAGCTGCCCAGAGACGGGATCAGCCCCCTCCCTGCCCTGGCTGGCCCCCTGCCTGCATCAGGTCTGACCCTCTCCTGTATGCGAGGGGTGGGGCAGGCTTCATCCTCCCTGAGTATCTCAGGAAGTGAACTGGCCACTCCCTGGGCCATCCCACCGCCTCCCGCTGGATCTGAATCCGCGGGTTCCCAGGCACAGTCCAGCTGGCGCCCAGGCGCCCGCCTCCCTCCCTCCCTCCCTCCCGCTGGGCTCCTGGCCGCATGGAGAGGGCGGCCTTGTTTCCTGGCAGCGCGGGGTGGACAGGGGGACCTCCCGCAGCAGTGCGTGTGCTGTTAGAGGGTCGCCTCCCCGGACCTGAGCTGCCTGATGCCCCCACAGTGACTAGCGAGCCACCTTCTCTCTCCCCCCCCCCCGGCCCGCCACCCCGGGGGCTCCGAACCCCGGCTCCATGGAGGGGTTCGGGTAGCCAAGGGCTCCGGGCCGGGTTGAGTTGCTTTGTCTCGGACAAAGAGCTCCTGGTGGTGCGGCGGCAGCGTGGGCGCGGGGTGGAGGGGCGCAGGGCGGGGATGGCATCTCTGTGCCCCGAGGCCGGAGGCCGGACCGGGGGTGTCAACAAAGGGCCGCGCCGACGGCCCACTCCGAATCGGAGCTCCCAGAGAGGCCCGGACGCACGGGGGCGGGGTGTGGGGGGAGGAGGCAGGTGCATCTGCGCTTGGGGAGCAGGCCTCCCCCCCGGCCCCAGCCCTCCCCCCGGCCCCAGCCCTCGCCGGGAGCAGAGGAGGGCCTGGGCCTATGCGCCGGCTCCATAAAGGGGTTCCGGCGCGGCGCTCGCGGGGACCCCGGGCTGCGCGGGAAGGAGCGCGCCGGCACAGGGGCAAGCGCGGGGGCTGGACACGGAGGGAGGGGGGCCCGGCGCAGGGCCGGGAGCGTCTTCCCCGGGGCCTGGAGGCCAGGTCCCGCCCGGGGCAGTGGGCCGGAGGCGCGGAGCGGGCCCCGGGAGCGGAGCTCACCGTGATCCGGGGGATGCTCTTCTTGCCCTGGAAGGACATCCTGCTCCTCCGGCTGCGCCGCCGTCTCCTTTGGCCGGCGCGGCCCGGTTCGCGCGTTGCGATCCTGGGGGTCCCCGGCGGCGGACGCACGAGCTAGGCCTCGACGTGGGGGCGCACAGAGCCCAGGCGTGCGCGTGGGGGCGCCGGGCGTCCAAGTGGGAGCGCGCTGGGCCGCGCGGCTCCGTTGCCGGCCCCGCCCCCGGCCCGGCCC